GAAATTTGGTTCCGAGCGTGGAACAACAGTTTACTGGTGCATTGAAGAGGAAGGTAATATGGATAACTGTTTCTCAAAGGAAATGCAATTTCGGCTGCTGTTTTTGCAAGGATAAATGGAAATACATAATTATGTACGTCGTTTGTTCCCCGTGTTATGGAAAGGAGAAAAATATCCAACTGAACTGGATTCTGTGATTTCGCGTCGTATTTCAGTCTCGTCAAAACCCGCGAAATCGGGTTAGGAACGTGATTCTTTTATCAGGGAACGACCTGTATGATTGAGATTGCTCAGACGTCTGACTATTATTGACTATTTCTACTTGGTATGTTTGAAATGTTATTTTGTGTGACTTTTGGTATGGTTCTTATGCTGTACGCGAGCGGATTATGTGAAGAAAAAAAATTAAACATTTTATTGATAGGCCTAAATATGATTTACTTATTCTACTTGCAACAGTTTAGGATTCATTGTTACGAGAGTTCTGAATTCTTATTTGATCGATTTCCAAACTTCTATTCATGTTGATGGGTTCACATTCAAACAATAATAATTTCGTTAGATCAATTTTCGAAAATAGTTTTCTAAAAATGTTTAGTCCTGTATTCCACTATAATTATTGAAATTGTTTGTATTCTACACAATAATTTACACAACCAAATTTCTTCACTCAACAGTCCCCAATTAAAAAACCTACATTAAAAAGTCTTGTCGAGAATACCATTAACGCAAGACCAATTTTGCACTAAGCCACGAACTCCGTAAAATTACTAAAACCCGCGCTCATCAACTGTTAGCTAAGGAACTGTAAAAAAGAAACGCGCAAAAAGCAATCTTGATTATTCCCATAGTAAAATTAAGCACATTCAGAGGATTCATTAAAAGCAACATAATTCCCTAGTCCAAACGTACAATGAAACGTGAAACAATACGCTACTCGACATTAATGATCATCCACAATGCAAGGCTCCCGCACATTAGAGCAAATGAAATTCCAAAGAATCCGGATAAAAGGAAAATATTCCTCCCACGTTTCCTGTTTCGGTAAATAATGGCTCCATGTGTATGAGAGCAACGCAGCATAGACGGACATAAGCAAATGTTTCTAGGCCGTAAGGCTGCAGCCAGCTAATCAGCTCACCACGCATCCGTGGCGAGTAAAGGGCAGCAACTGACCGTGATATTAATTGCTTTCTGGCTATTAGCAAATGGTACCTCGGAGATCTCGCAAGGGGAGCGGCGTGTGCGCCATTAACATTAACACGACGCAATACGCTGTTTACTCGGGGTTCCAGACACGGGGATGTAGTCGCGTTTAAATCACGCGCGGCAGAAAGCGAAAATGCCTGAGCCCATTGTTTATTCCGCCGACAATGCGCAACCAGGAAGTTAAACCGAACCCAGTCGGCGACTAATCCCGTTCCCTTCGCCTCCTTTGGTGAATCGCGACTCCCTCGGATCCTGGTAATTGCCAACCCTGCTATTTTCTTCCGACTCTCTTGTAAAAGACAGGAGAAACCGATTCTAATTTGTGTTTTTCTGTGGTCTTGTACAAATGTGACTTTAAACTGCCATTAACCCTTTCATTAACACTTAACAGACGGGTCACGTAAATTTACGTTTTTCCATTGTGACTTCCTAGCTCGGACCACGTAGATTTACGTTTTTGCTTGAATCTTTAGTAGGCTGCGTTAGTAAATATACCCGGAAACTGGGAAAGACAGGGTAAATTCGACCCGTCCGTTAAGTGTTAACACTAGGTTTTCCGGACGGGTCATTTTGACTCATTTCGAACTTCGTAAGAGAAATTACAGGATTCATTTAGATTTTTTTCTGCCTCTTCTACTGACTTTTATCCATATATTTCATAGTTTCATTTATAAAATCATTGTGTATAACT